TGCGGGGAAACTGGTCAGCATTTGATTAGAAAGGGCAAAGGATGACCTCTCAGGTTCACCTGCAGTGGAATAGAACCAACTCTCCATTCTGTTAGGAGAAAGAGCATCGTGTATTTCTCCATTTGCTGCTGCTGCTGATTTATTTCATGAACGATTTACCTTCTTGGTGATAGTGATGGGAGGTGCCAGGGAAGGCCCAGGTCATTCTACATTCCTTTCCCTCTAAGCACCAGGAGTAGATGCGTATATGCGTGCCTGTTAAAAACTGATATGTGACCGGGGAGCACCATTACCCCTCTTCGTTCCCACCTTCACTGGGTCTCCACTTCAACCTGGACGGTCCCCATCACAAAGAAAGGCCTGTCACCAAGACTCTGTACTTACCCAAGCAGGTGTCGGAGGAGACCTTGGCTTGAATCGCATAGCACCAGTCTGACTCTGGAGTAGAGAGAGGAAGGATGTGAATCCTGTGAATACATGTGTCATTGTATCTGTGTGCACATACGTCTCTGTGCTCCTGGAGTCTGGGACAGAGGGCCCAGGGGAAGGAGACTGAAGAAGAAATTGTACGGATGGGGAAAGGCGGTCGAAGCAGCCAGGCTGCATGTGTCCCTGACCTGTGGCTGATCTACTGGTCCTCCTGCTCAGGACACTGTTCCTCAGGCAGCCCTTGAGGGGGCCCCTCTGAGGCCAGCGGCCTCGACACTCTCCATTGGTTGCTCATCAGCCTGCCCCTCTCTCCTTGCACCCCTTACCCGGAAGGGAGGCTCTGGTGTAAGGGGAGGAGAGGGATCAGGGCCCGGCCTCCCCTCCTGACAGCACAGCCAGGTTCAGCCTGGCTGCTTTCCCAGAGTTGGATCAAGGGGGTGATGAAGATTAGGTTAGCCCCTCCCCAGAACACACCTTCTTGTGTTATTAAGACCCAATAAGCCTTGGCTAAACATTCGCAGCCCCACAGCAAGGAAGATATCAGACCTTTTCCCTGCTCCACCATCCCACAGTCCTGGTGTTTGGGGCCAGACAGACACAGGTTCTAATCCCAGCCCTGCCTCTAGGGCAGTAGAACCAGCATCTCTGGAAAAAGGCTGCACCACAAATGTACCACTCTAATGCAAATGTTAAACTAATATTAACATGAGGGGACACGCTGCAGGGGCAGAGGGGACACGGGTGAGCCCTTGTGCTTTCTGCTCAGTTAAAGTCTATGAGAGAGAGAGAGAGAGAGAGAGAGAGAGAGAGA